ACTTTTTCCCCTGCGTTCCATGATTCACAATGCTGTTTCCTGACTAATTCTTAAAATGCAGATATTTGGGTTCCTTGATGTGGAGAAGAATGGATCAATTACATTTAAGGAGGTGGTCCTCCCTGCACTCTTGCCCACCCAAAATATTTTTTTTCTACGCATGTGTAATGTGTCTGTTCCCTTTTGCAATTCCATATGTCCCTCATTTTAAACGATCATTTTGTTCCTTTCAGTTCTTGTTTGGATCCGCTCATGTGATGAAGCAACCATTATTCCACCAAGCCTGTGAATTTGCATTTGCTAAATGTGTTATTCAGGGAGCTAGTTACTGTTCAGAGCAAGAAGTACAGTGTTCTTTATCCTCTCTTCCTTGCTCATTCAACAGTTTAATTTCCTTCATTTTATGCACCAATTTTTTTTTCTAACATTTCCATTTGCTTTTGGAACAGTTGGCTGATGTTATTAGACCTACCATTCCAGATCTGAATTATGAGGAGGTAACACAAACCCTTTTATTCTTTCTTTTCTCCTACTAAAAATAAAATATTTATTTATTTATTTTTTTGGTAATAATATTAACTTCTTATTAAACATATATAACAAATTTATCCTTAAAAACTGAAAGAAAACATAATCTACATTTTCTTTAAAATGTGGAGAATAATTCAGTGTGTGGATTTGCTTAATCTATGTTAATCTACTACTCCATATTTAAGAACTTAATATTCTATCCTTAAAAGGTGAAATTTCACTTTTTCCTGACCTGATCTAAGCCATCTCAGTATTTACTTACTAGATTCATGGGCTGTTCAATCTATTTGACATGGATAAGGATGGAAGGATCAGCAAGGATGATTTCTTTTCCTGCCTGAGAAAGAATCCCCTGCTGATAGCACTTTTTTCACCATGTTTGGCCCGCAAAGAGCTGTCAAAGGATGGGGATATGGTGCTGCATGAGACTGTCTGATCCATAGCTGTGTGTTTTCCTGAGGCAAAACATAGATTTGTTGCTTGACTGAGAATTATCCACTACTATGGGGGCGTAATATTATTTTTTTTTGGATCAAGCCCCTCAAAAGAGACTGCCTACAATGATTATTGATCCTGTTAAATGGGGATTTAACTTGTAAGTTCATGCTGTTTTGCATCTAAGACAGATCTTGTGACTACAAATTTTGTGTGCTTAACTTGGAGCTTGAGAGCATAGAAATGAAAATTATTCATGATTCTTCTGAATGGGATATTATATGCTCTCATTTGCCTTAGGAATGAAGGACTCTTGTGAAATAAAATCATCATCTTTCAATGGAGAAAATTTATAATACTTAAAAACATAATGATTAATGCTTAAAATTCAATACTTTAATAAATTTAAAAGCCTTTAATGGTATAGGTGCTGTTAATAAATTTAAAAGCTTCTAATGATATAGGTGGCGTTAATAAAATTAAAAGCCTTTAATGACATAGGTTGTGTATAGGATTATTGTGAATTGTTGTAATTGTGAGTTTTTTAATATTTATTATAAAAAATTATGTGATTATTTGTTAATTGCTCTAAATTTTTTTATAAAATATTAATTAAAAATAATTTAATTATATTGTTTTAATGGTTGTGTTTTACTTGTTTA